TCGCTACTAGGAGCAAGCACGCTACTAGGGGCTCCTGGCATCGCTACCAGGAGCAAGCGCGCTACTAGGGGCTCCTGGCATCGCTACTAGGAGGAAGGACGCTACTAGGAGCTTGGTTTCAAAAGGGCAGAACTGTGCGGACTTCGTTCAGTGACTTGCGGCCTGTGACTTCACGGACTCGTTCGATCCTCCGAGATCCCCCGAGATCCCCAGGATGTGCGGCCACTGAGGCTGCTGACTCGATCATCAGCGAATACAAATCTTCATGCGCCACAGGCAATGGGCAGTCCTGAGGCATCCCCAAATAAAACGTGCCTCAACCCGACTCGAAGTATTCAGAGATCACTCATGATCACTCTACGCATCGCTTGATGCATCGCGCGTTGTTCTATTTCCGTATCGATGGTCACTTCGATGGTCCCATGTTCTATTTCTCACAGTCTGCCAAAGGAAGGCGAATGGATTCTACCACAGTGCGTCATCCTAACTACGTCTCTAAACATGCGACAGACTCTTCTACAGTAAATCTTCCCCCACGAACCCAATCTCCTCCAAGAGTAAACGCACAGAGAGCTGCAAGGCATCTGCCAAAGGATTGACCGAGGTCACATCGCCCAGGCCATAGCCAGCCAAGCACATCTGCCCTCAGCAATTCAGGTCTCAGATTAGCACAATTATGCATAATATGCATGCGTCATGCTTTGGAAGATGAGGATGGGCTCTGAAGGTGGCTCCAGGTGGCTCCCCAACGGTGTAGATGGGGTGTGCTTGGTGGGATGGCTGCACTTTTTCTCGCTTCAGCGTATCTACCCCACATCTCTCAGCTTGATACCAGGAAACGCTCGTTAATTGTTGTCACGAGCCAATTGGTAGAAGGAATCCATGGTGTTACGATACTTTAATGACTCAAAACCCTTGAGCACAGACTTTCTCTAAGTGCAAGCCAATGCAATCCCATGACTTGTCGTTCACGAGGGGCAGAGCTGGGATCAAACTCTTCATTGATCATTCCTCCAAATCCATAACAGGATGAGGTGCTCATGCTCGCTCGGGGACTGGGAAGAGACCAAAGAAACGGTGCAGGATGAGTTTTGGCTGTTCAGATTGACATCATGCTTGGAACCTTTCAACATCTATCAACTCAAACCTGCAGTTCCTGGTCCTGAAGTGCCGGGTTCTTCTGCAAATTGAAACCTGCGAATTTCCCACCTTCGCGTTTGGCTGGTGTGGCAGCCAAGCTTGAATTTTGAAGATTTTCCCTCTGTGTTGCCACAAGGCGGAAACCCCTGTCTAGGGAAGGCCAGATTTCGGGATTGCAAAACCCAGCTAGTCGGATCCCTGTTCTTGGCAACATGTCCCCATACCGACAACCCAACAACGAGGGTTTCGACACCCATCGCTTCGGGAGGTCTGCTTGGCTTCGCCAAACAGCCAGGAAAATCCAGCGATTCGGGATGGCATTTGCTGAAACGAACTAGATCGCCCGCCTTATTGCCACACCCACCATGCCAGAGATGAGGGTTCCCAAGGTGGCCATTTGTCGCAAGAACCCACTCAGGGTCACTCTGATGCCACTCACAATGAAGCCGGCGCGGCTGTCCGTAATGAATTGCACCAAATACTGTCTCTCGAGGTCACGCTTGCTACCACACTCCAGCTCGTTTACGAAGGGGGCAACCTCCGGGTGGAAATCCAAGCATGTCATGTGGTTTGTGAAGCAACGGGTTCATATATGCGTTCAGGTTCATAACATTCTAAAACACGTGAAAACTTTAGTGTAGACTAATCTTAGTTATAAACCCTATGCATCTCTTTGCCACATGGCAAATGTTCAGTGAATGTAAGACTGCCAAACCCAGGACCTCCCTGCATTTGTTGCTAAGTGCGCCCCCTTGAGCAAATAGCCAGGCCGATACGCAGAATAGCATCAACTCAGGAAGGGTTGCAAGCACATGCACAATTGCCATTCCATCATCAAACCACACAAGCCAACTGACTGTGCCAGCGAGTGCCGATATGAGCCCGAGAAATCCGCAAATCTGAAGAGCAAGAAAGCATGGCCCCAATTCTCTGCCCACACACTTGATCAATGCCTGCATGGAATTCCAAGTTCTGACCTGCGTTGCAATTTCTGCAGCTCCAAAGCATTAAAGGGTCAAAGATCTTCCAAGGAACGGTTGTGAAAAAGGAAATGTTTCCAAACAAATGCGGGTGTCTCCCGAGCTAAAGTCTGGTTCGAAGAGCATGTCACTGCACCAGCAGTCGATGGTCTTGCTCAATCCAATCAGCAAATTACGCTGGAAGTGCGCCCCATTGATGATGATGGCTGTGGCGGCGGCGAAAGCAAGGCAGTCCATCGCCGAAGTGACATGAGACAAAGTCCTCGCCAACCTTAAATACCTCAGATTGATTGCGCGGAACGCAATGGAACCGCGAGGGGAAGGGGAGGGCTGAGCAAAAGAGCAAAGGAGCTAGAGCGGAAGGATGTGGAAAGCGGGTTGGTGTTTCACGACCAGTTTGCTGGGAATCGAGAACTTGATCATCTCTTGAACCTAGTTCGATTTTCCAGGATTCCACAAACTGGAAAGCTAAAAAGCCCAGTACAGCCAGTGTCCACAAAGCCAAGGAGAGTTTGTACTCTCTTCTTGCAACTGTTCGCCAATCAAGTCCTTTGCCACAATCTTTGACAAATGCATCCAGTTTGGCTACTGCAAGGATCAAATCATCAGACTGGACAGCCCTGCTCATGAGCAGAACTAGCAGGAAGGCAACAATGTTCAGGAACAATGTGGAGCAAATCATTTTCACAAAACTCACTGGGTGAACATGCCCATAGCTATGCAGCACTGTGGCCAAAACCACCTGCATGCAGCTCATCAGAACGAAAACACAAGCCACTGTGATGGGTGCGGCAAAAAAGTTACCGCCAATCTCCTGCGCCAAAATGTTAACCACACCATCCTCAGCAGCAATCGCCTCAGAAATCTCCGTGTGGGAGTCCAGAATCTCTGTCTGTGAAGCCTTGACCAGTTCAGAGAGACGAGAGCCGCGCTTGCCTTGGTTGGACGAAGCACGAAGGCGCGTGACCTGGCTACAAGAAATTGCGATGCCAGCCATGGAATGAAAGCTGACTTCATCTTCCAAGAGAAACAAATGACGATTTGTATCAGCTAGTCCAAACACCTACTCAAACTTACGAAACGCAAAAACTGTGTGTGCTAGGACAAAATCCACACATCTGCAACTTTGAAACGCTGTTGCGCATGTTTTTCCTGTTTCACCACCTGTTGAAAATGGTTCCCACAAAAAAATCCTTTACTTCGAGCGATCCCCAGCATGACATGTCAATGCCAAGGTGAGAGGCATGTTGCCATGGTCGTGGGCTTTGTGGTTTTCGATCCTCGGGCTTGGGCTTGCTACCTTTAACGTTAGGGAGTTCGCGTCGGGGTGTCTCCAGTTGGCATCCCAAAGTGCTACCTTGTGACCACCTGCAATGCAAGTTGCCACACGCACAAGTACATATATTGTTGTGGTTGTGCTTGAGGTTGTGTGTTTGTGGTTGTGTGTTTGTGATTGTGCTTGTGACTGTGTGCTTGTGGTTGTGTGCTTGTGGCTGTGTGTTTGTGGTGTGCTTGTGAGTTTGTTTTGAAAAGTCGTGACACCCACGTGTGAAAAGGCTTCAAAAGCTGCGCGTCCTTTTGAGCCTGCATCTTGAGCCACAGGCGGTCGTTCATGCCTGTGTGACAGTCAAACCTGCTGGACGGATTGAAGGGGCAACTGCATGAGATGTGGTCGCTAGCGGGTCAACATGTTCCATTTCACACCCATATTCTTTCTTGGCCCTCAATCCATCCAGAGTCGGTGACATGTCGACTTCAAAGCCATCCATCAGCCTCTTTAGGCCGTCATGCTTCATCCCTTTTGTCAAAGGGTCCGCGAGCATCTTGTCGGTCGAGGTCCAGGTGAGCTTTGTCGTTCCGGCCTCTGGAAGCCGGTCAGTGGCCAAAGGATCTCCAACTTCCTCTTCTGGAAGTCTCCAAAGGCTTTGGCGCAAGCCGCACATGTCGATGGCCAATCGCTTGTCGCTGACAATGTGGAGGCCAGCCTGGTTTCCATGGTCGTGGAGCGACCTGCAGTCCGTCACCCACTCCACCAGCACTGAGTCCATCGCACGAACTTGCCATCGAGGGACAGTGCAATGAGGGTGTAGAAGACCATATAGCACGAACCTCAAGTGATCGGCTTCTTCGCTTCCAGCTAGGAGGCTTAAGGCTTCAGCTTGCAGTGTCGACCTGCAAACCCTCTTCAGCACCGTTGAGTGCCACTCGATCAGCGCCAGCTGTCCTTTCTTGGACTTGTGGAAGTCCGGGCTCGCGAGGCAAAGGAGTCGGCCGCTTTGACTTCTGTGTCCCATCTTTGCTCCTGACGAGCTAGCTTCAAAGTCAGCTGCATGACTGGCATCTTGAATTGCCAGGATCATAGCCTTCTCAAACTCAAAGGCCTTGATGGGGTAGTTCAGGCCAAAGCTCTTGGTCCTCTGGGCCAATGCCACAATGGAGTTGGCATACTTCACATCACCAAAGGTGGCCGAGTGCACGCTCATCTGCATGCGGCACACTGCATAGGCCAAATCTGGCCTGCAAACACGAGCCAACCATGCCAAGCTGCCGATGATGCTCCTGAGCTGCCCTCGAACTGCTTCAGGTACTGGTTGAGCTTCATGACGCTTCTGCTCATGGGTCAGCCAAATTGGCCGCACGCGGTCAATCAAGTTGTCGCACTTGACTTGGATGTGCTCAGCAGTCCTGGAGATGTTGCGACCGCAGTAGCGAAACTCATCTTTCTCAACCTTGCCGAAGTTGTAGTGGCTGCACACATCTTTCATCAGATCTTCAATGACCTGTCCTCCAGTCCATAGCAGGTCGTCAACGTGAGTGACCAACAGACCTGCCAGTCCAGAATGCCCATCCAACAAAGTGTAGGCTCCTGGCTCATAGGGAACTGGATGAAATCCTTTCTTCTTCAAAGTGCTGTCCAGGTTCTTCCACCAACCACGAGGTGCATCCTTCGTGCCATAGACGGTGGAGGAAACGGTGTAGTACATGTTGGGTGCAACTCCTGGAACTCCATCTTTGGGAAGACTCAAAATCAAAACACGATCCAACTTGCTGCCCTGCAGAAAGGCAGCGGAGATGTCACCAGACCACAAGGTTGTGTCTCGACAAGCTGCCAAGGTGAGCACCAGTGAGATCATGGTCTGGCTGCACGTGGGCGAGTCGCAGCGCATCAAGCTGCTGTCTTCAAGATCACCTCGCACCACCAGTCTTGACTTCAGCTTTTCTTCTTCTCCAATCTCGCTCTTGTTGACATCCACCCATCGAGTTGGAATGATCTTCAACTCCGGGTTCTGAGCGATCATGTGCACCACTTCCTCTTCTGGGACCAGCTTGCCATCGCTGTAGAACTTCCAGTTGTGCCATTCTTTCTCCCGAGTGGCCAAAAGCTTCTTCTGCATCTCGGGAGTCTCCTTGGAAAAGTTCAGCTCACGGCCTGCTCCGACCTTTTGTGTCTTCTTCTTGTACTTGCGCTCGGTCTTGTTCGCAAGAAAGCTGTCGGAGGCTGAAGGCTCACGTCGACGGAAAAT